AAGCATAACTTCTCAAGGGATTTTAATTAACTTGCCAATAGTGTTCTAATTGCCTTGACACTTATGAACTTATCTTAAGAGATAAGAGAGTTCACCAGGCCCAAAAATAATTGTATTCCATGGTTACCATGGGTCTACAGTTTCGAGAATTCTGTTCATAACTGTCTCATTGAAAATAAAGTCATTTACTGGAACAACAACATTGTTTGAAGTCTCAAAATGTACTGGGCGGTCTTCATTCATTTCAGAGTTGTCACTCCCAACTAAAATGGTCTCCATTGTCTCTCCACTGTTAAGAACCCCTCTCAGCCACAGTTGAAGAGGCGTTTGGTATCCCTGAGTAGATAATCCATGGTTGTTCCACTGATTTTTGAATTCTGCAGTTGACCTTTGAACTCTTGGCAAGTAGATGTAGTGTAGACAAAATAAGTGCAGTTCATTTTTAGAATTCAGTATGCCCTCATTTTCCATGAAGGAGAAGAGATCACTCTAGTAGAAGGAGACAACTCTGTTTAACTCTGCCCACAACCGCTCAATCCTCTGGTTGTGAACACTGCGTCTAGTGATGACACTACCTCTATTTAACTCTCTTCTTTCCAGCATATATCGGGCAACCTCCGTGTTCTCCATGCCATGATCACAGCGTACTCTCAATGGAAGGCCGTAATTCTCTACACCTATGCGAAACAGTTCCAGTACACTTGATGCTCTATTGTTATTTAGGCACTGCAAGTATATGATGGTCCTACTAAAGCCGTCAACACATCCATGAAACACCATACTCCACCTGACCAGTTTATGGTTTCCGTCTATATGCCTATGGAGAGAAAATGTGAAAATTAATTTTTTTACCATGTAATGAAGAGATCATAACAGTTTGTCAGACATACTTCAAGTAGTATTTTTAAAAACTTACCATAATTGATTGGGAATTTGAACAGAATAAATTCTTCTGCGAATTGCACAGCGTTTGATAGGAATTTATGATGCATTGAAAACATGCATGGAGCGCCTCCAGGGCACCAAAGCTTCCCTGATTGTCACCATCTTCAAACTGCTGGTTAATCGAGAGCAAGAAAGAGATTGTCCGAGTATAACCATCAAGCTCAGAAATTAATCTGTCCAAAATGACATTGTCATGTCCCAAACTGTCAGTTTCCCTCACAATTCTCTGGACACACSGCAGTATATCAGTGAAAAAGATAGCAATGTTTTCCTCATTACCATTTACCTCCACAAACAAAAACTGACCTTGAAAAAGAAAGTAAATAAGAAGAAAACCTGWCATCTTTTTGTCCCCTGACATCTTTTTGTCCAACAAGGTTGTTTCTGCTGCTTGATTTAAATGTTCCTTGTTACTCTGAGTTGGTGCTAGCTTTACTTTCAAAGCAGTTAGCCCACTAGACAATGATAATTCAAAATGACCCCTTTAGCCAATGAGGAAGTGAGAATTTAAACTGTCTTCCTATTTGATCAAACCAACTTCCTTTTCAATTATACTCTCTCACACACACACTATTATACTCTCTCACACACACACTATTATACTCTCTCACACACACACTATTATACTCTCTCACACACACACTATTATACTCTCACACACACACACTATTATACTCTCTCGCATACACTTCTATACTCTCTCGCATACCCAAATACTGTATATGCTCTCACACACAATACTATACTGTCTTGCATAAAGAACTATACTCTCTCACAAACACTGCTATACTCTTTCACACACACTACTATACTCTCTCACAAACACTGCTAAACTCTCTCACACACACTACTATACTCTCTCACATACACAACTATACTCTCTCATAAATACATGTAAAATGAGTATAATGGTGTGTGTGTGTATGAGTATAGTGGTGTATATACAAGGTTATGAACGTGTGTGTAAGACCAAGTATGAATTATGTCCCAGGCGGCCCCTCATATAATAGGCTGCTCTGGCATTACCATAGACTGTATATAAAGAGGGCATTACGGAGAGCCTTACTGTATTTTTTAAGATTATCTTGCCAGACTAAACGAGATTCTTCCAGTTTAGTGGCACGCCATTTACGTTCGGATTTACGTGCCTCTAGCTTTAAGCTGCGAGTCTGCTGGCTATACCATGGTGCTAACCTCCTTTGTTTAATTATCATCTTTTTCAGAGGTGCAATAGAGTTGAGAGTTGTTCGTAATGAGACTGTAGTACTATCAACAAGATGATCTATTTGTGAGGGGCTAAAGGAAGCAGACAAGTCCTCTGCTACATTGAGACATGGCATTGAATTCAATACTGAAGGAATCACTTCCTTAAATTTGGCTACAGCACTGTCAGATATTCATCTGCTGTAGGAGTTTCTGCCAAAAGGCTTACAGTCCAGTAATATGAACTCAAAGGTTATTAAAAAAATGGTCAGACAGAAGAGGATTCTGTGGAAAAACTGTTAGATGATCGATTTCAATGCCATATGAGATAACAAGATCAAGAGTGTGGTTCAGACAATGAGTCGGTTTATTTACACTCTGACAGAAGCCAATTGAATCTAATAGAGAGATAAACGCAGCACTAAGACTATCATTGTGGTTGTCCACATGAATAATAAAATCACCTACAATAATGACTTTATCTGTTTTTAGGATCAAGCGTGATGCAAACTCTGCAAATTCAGATATAAATTGTGAGTAAGGACCGGGAGCTCGTGAACTGTAACAAATAGAATTGGCTGTAATGGTTTCCAGGAGAACAAGACTTTCAAATGAATTATAATTTAGTTTAGGCTTAGGATTTATTAATAAACTTGAGTCAAATATGGCTCCAACTCCACCACCTTGACCAGTGCTTCGAGGAATATGAGTATTACAGTGACTGGGAGGAGTGGATTTATTTAAGCTAACATAGTCATCCTCCTGCAGCCAGGTTTCATTAAGATAAAATAAATCAATATCATAATCAGATATTAATTCATTGACTAAAACAGCTTTGGAGGATAATGACCTGATATTCAAGAGTCCACATTTAATTCTTTTATTTTGGACTGCTGGAGATGTTGATTTAATTTTTATTAAGTTGTTATGATGAACTCCTCCTCTGTTTAATGACAGAAAGTCTGGTCTGCCACTGGAATGGTGGAAACAGAACCAAGTCCGTCTAAGTCTTCTTGCACCACTGGCAAGGAAATGCCTCGGTCCTCCACCTTCCTCTGTTCCCAGCGAGAGAATATTCAGTGAGGTTGGGAACATTTTTGTGAGCAAAAGGAGCAGTCTCACTGGACAGAATGCAGAGAAGCTTTGTTTTCTGCATCACAACCTGCAGCTCATAAACTGGGACTATTAAAGACACAAATGCTGAGAGGTGCTGCTATTCTGTTTGTCCCCCCTCTCTCTCTCCGTAGCCTGCCAAAATCCTATTGGATGAGCATGGTAAATTTGGTGGGGTGACCAAGTGTACCTGGCCTTCAAGTTTTTGTTTGTTTTGACCAAGTTTATATGGTCAGTGATGCTGCTGTCAGCTGCACTAAAACTAAAGCACTTTAGTTACTCTTTTGTTTTTGACCAAGTTCATATGGTCTGTGATGCTGCTGTCAGCTGATAAAGCTGTTAATAAGTGCACTAAATCACTTGTTTTTAATTTCCTTTTTTTAAATTGAATACAAGAACATTCAATAAATGTTAACATTAAGTTAAAACAATATTGTGTAATTTTTTATCATATTGTTAGATTCAGTCCTAGACCATTTCAGGAGGCAGAGAGCTGGTGAAGCCTGGGCTTGATAGAAGTGGCAGGTACAGAATAGTGATGGGAGCCGGGTCAGGTGTGAAGTCCCGGAAGTGTCAGAGCCTGGAAAGACTTGAGAGTACTTGGGTGTGGCCACTGTAGGTTACAGAGCAGCGCCCAGTGGGCATAGGCACAGATACAGGTGGAGGCGAGGGATAGGAGGCCCGTAACAACAAAATATTGTATTTTATCAGAAGGGGGAGGAAAAAAGTGATATCGGCCTCTCATATCAGCCATCGGCCGCCCTGCTCTCTCTCAATATCGGCATCGGCATAGTCGGTCTAAAGGCCATATCGGTTGACCTCTAAAAGGCACCCATTCAAAATGTCTCTGCAGAAGAGATTTTCTAGTTATTATTATTATTATTATTATTATTATTAGGGCCCTCGCCCTGATGTGATTATTATTTTTACTTTTTGAGCACTTAAACATACTCGAAAACTGATGAAACTTTGCAGAG